TTAGGTTCCATAATAATTATATCCAAGCCCAGGCACGGGTGTTTAATTATCAACACACTGCTGCAAAGTAGTGTGACCACGTGCAGTAGCCTTGTCCTTGTAATAACAAAGAGAAGAAGACTAAAGGCTATAGTTTACAACATTAAGCTAGTCCTAACACTACATTGATGCTATAGAATATGGTTCTATTCTAGCGGAAAGCATGCATCAAAAGGTCAAATCGCCCACACTTTTGATTTAAAATTGACGGTACGTTGGCCTAATGTCATATTGTAAACTAGCCTTATAAGATCAGCATATAAGACTTTCTTCGCCCCTCAATATCTACCCTCAGGCAGATATCTCAGGGTTTGGGTCTATTAATTGCTGCTACAGATCTCAAAGGCATTCAAGACATGGTATATATTATTACATAAAGAAGAAAAATTGATGAAAATAAAACAAAAAATTAATTTAATTTATTTCTTACTTTATTCTGTCTGATTGCATGTGAAGCTACGTTCCTCTCTCCTGTCTCAAGGCCTCTGTAAGCAAACAGCTCAAAACCAAGTCTTACACAATAATAAGATGCAGCCTATAAATTATTTAAAAAAAAATAAAATGTATAACTAATTAAAAGGTTATCGTAACTTGATTTTCCCTGCCCACATGTGGTTTTTATTATTTATACATGCAATTTATACAAATATAGTATTAAATCCTGCTCATGAAACGATAAGTTATTGTAATGGCCTCATGGCACACTGTTTAGGACAGTTAAACTTTCTCTCTAATAATGCTGATTCAATTTTTTAACAAAGGGAAGCTAAATTGATATTTTAAAATAACTCTTAATTAAGTACCAAAATCAGACAGAACACTTCTATTACATGTGGCTCCTATTCTATTAGCTTTTATTAACACATACTAATAGATAGTAGCCATACACTATATATACGCACCTGCTTAGCATTTCCAACCCAAAAGGTCACATGATCAAAAGCAACAAATTTTCCTGGTCCTTCAGGCTACAAGAAAAAAGATAAAAATTACTATTTGCTAGTGTAAACAAGGCCCTACCTCTTTTCCTTTGTCATAGTAGCTCTACAATGAAAATATGAAAATGAATATAAAATAAAATAAACAATTAAAAAAGTTTACCATAATCGATCCCAAGTGAAGGTGTGTCTCATGCATATGATGACGAAACTCGAAAGAGGTGAGGTTGAAGCATCACGTGATCCTCCTCACAAGCACGTGGTGTTAGTAAAAGAGAAGAAAGCACGCCATTTGTACAAAGACTTGGTTAGCTGACATTGTTTCGTGTCTAGGCAAGACTTAAAGTAAGTCCTGTTCCCCTAACTCTTTAATTCTTTATTTTTTTAGAAATGCGTTACGTGGCAGCATACCTTTTGGCATCACTGGGTAGTAGTAAGGACAGCCCGACCAAGGAGGACATTACTAAAATCCTAGAATCGGTAGGACTGGAAATTGAAGACGATCAATTGGACAAAGTAAGGAAATAGCTTGTATTACTATAATCTCTATCTTTAATTTTATTTTTTAAGGTAATCTCTGAGTTGAAAGGCAAAGACATCAATGACGTCATAGCAGAAGGAATGGGTAAACTTGCCTCTATCCCGTCAGGTGCGTTCTTGATTTATTGTGGGTGTGGTTAACACTTTTTAAATTAGGGGGTGTGGCAGCTGCTAGCGGTGGTGGTGGCGGAGCAGCTGCTGGAGGAGGAGGTGACGGTGGAGAGAAAGAAGAGAAGAAAGAGGAGAAGAAAGAAGAGAGTGAGGAGGAAAGTGATGACGATATGGGCTTTGGACTCTTTGATTAGAATTTCAATCTCCTCTTATAATGAGATTTTTTGTTATTTAAATAAATGAAGATTCATTTTCCTAATTATCGATAATTGAGGCTTTTAGCGAAAATTATTTCTTATGCTATTAATTGTCAATAGAAAAAAAGCAAAAATTTTTTTCCTTGCAAATAGTTATTTTGTGAAACATTTGTCTCTTTATGGTAAACTTGTTCAAAATTAATAATGAACAAATTACTGTATATTGGGTAATTTCAGGAGCTAGGAGAAAATTTTCAGACAGAAAAATGTATTTTTATTTCCACACAGTGGTTCCTGATCCTGTCCAAAAGTTAATAACATGAAATTTTAAAGACCTCAGCCATGGATCCGAAAATTAGTTACACTTCAGTTGCAACCAACAAATGAGAACACATGTACATCCCAACAGTAGATGAATGGAGATAAAATCAATGTTTGAAGCGATAAGCCATTTTATTTCACATGTGCACTACTTTCAAAAGTCAGTTTGATTCGTTATTATTAATAAGAATAGGTATAATAATAGTAGGAACAAAAGTCATGCATAGTCATTACTCTAATCAAGTAGTACAGTACAAGTACAATCGTTAAGTTTAATTTATCTAATGGTAAAATATCTCTTCTCTCCATCTTTCAACTAAGACCACACAAGCAGAACATGACGGGTAAAAACACGGCTATCGCTATTGTGATTGGCCAGAACCAGCTCTCGTCAGAGGAGTAAGGGTCAATGGCCCGTGGGCCAGAAGGTCTCTTAAATTTCTGTCCCTTTGAAGAGGTGTCGCCCCACTCTCCGTCGGTCTCCGGCTGTGCCTGCTGCTGGCTGTTCTTACTGACTTGCTCCAGAGGAGGAAGAGGTGGGAACTCTACAAGTTTAAAGAATAGTAATTTATTATTGAGCTACTTTCTTATTCTAAAAAAAGCAAAATTTTCGAGGGCTGTGAAATTTCGCGATTTATTGAAGAATCGCAAAAATTAATTCTGCGAAAATTAAAATTATTAGGGCACAAGATGGCGGACAGTATAAATTCGCAAAAATTAAATCCGCAAAATAGATTTTTACACAATTTCGCGAAATTTACAGCCCTCAAAAATTTTGCGCTATACAGTATTACATGTAGGCAACTAAGCATTGGTGATCTCTATGGTCGTAATTGTTTTAAGGGATGCTCAAAATAAAGCAAAACAGTGGATTTTTACTTTGACAATTCTATTATTAATCTTAAAAATCCCAAAATTAAACTTCCCACTATACGGTAATAAAAAAAAAATAGATAGCTACAGATGTGCCTATGTGTGTATCTTTACCTCCTGGATTTCCCTTGGCAACAACAATTGCATTTATCTTTGGGTTATCTCTTAATCCCTAACATAAAAAAATCATGATTAATTGGCAAGAAATTCACATAATATTACATTACATAATATTACGTAGAGTGTACAAAAACAATGGATATATTTTAACAGAAATGAAAAGAGTTTTTTCTCTCTCCCTCTTTCAAATTCATTATCTTATAATTTCAAATTACTATGAAGCAACTTCTAATTGCAGGCACTAAATTTTGCAATTTTAGCATGTGGTAGATTTTTCTGGTATTAAAAATTGAGATTAAGTATTTCAATACTAATTATGGCAGAATTAATAATTAGACGTATCAATGCCGTATAGCAGGAAATTTTGGAGTGGCTAAAATTTGGCATTTTGGTGATTGGCAGATTTTAATTTGGCAAATTCGCGGCCACGTGCCATTGAGCATGCGCATAATGGCTCAAAATGGCAGATTTTTATTTTGGCAAATGGCTATCAAATCGCCAAATTTAATCCCATCCAAAATTTCCCACTATACGGTAATTAAAATTTTTATTAGAGTTGTACCGATTACCGATAAAATAATCGGAATCTGCAGATATATGCCATTTTTTATCGAATCTGAATCGGTTAATTTCATTGCAGATTATTATAACTATTAATAACTTATTAATAAAAGTTATTAACTACACTCGTACCAGCCACATGATCCAAAAATGTCAAAAAAGTTTGTCAATATGGCAGTAATTCACTTTTAGTCCACAATTTGTAACTGGCTAAGTTTAGTTCTCTGCAAAATACATGCATTTGCATCATGATTTATTAAAAATAAATATTTCTTTTTAATCGGTATTTACATCTGTATTGGCAGTTTTTGTACAGTATAATCTGTTAATCGGAATATCGGCAAATTACTGTATCGGTGCAACTCTAATTTTTATCTTGAACACAAAATACAAAATTAGTAGTACTTGTAATTAAAAGCAGCCTTAAGGTACATGCTACACACATACATTAATATGTAATTACATTAATAATTCCATTACCTTTGAGAACTCAACCACTAGAGTGCCATCAAAATCACTCGTCTCTTCATTGACTGTTATCTGTCCATCATGTACAGTGAAAGGAATGATCATGTCAAAGGCGACCGCTCTGCCAACTCGAGCAAAAATATCTAAATTACTAGCTACAGTAAAATGATTGTTCAACACGACATCAAAAACCTACAGATTGAGAGAAAGAGAAATGAGATAAGGAAGATAGAGAGAGGGACATTGTTGATATTAAGATTTTTTAATAAAAGGAGACAAGTAGATGGAGATAGGAAGAATGAAGGAATGGAAAAAAAGGAGAGAGACAAAGAGAGAATGTTAAAGATAATGATCAGGACAATAATTTTTTCATTTATAATTCATCATACATGCATATGTACATGTACATGTACACAATAGGGTAGATTAATTGTATTTTAAAACCACATCTACCTGGCAAAGTCATAGCGTAATGTAACGGTAATACATGCATTACAATTACTATTTTAGACCTATTTTAGAAACTATACTTTTTCGTTTGGCCTTTGGAAATAAACTTCCGCAAATTTGAGTACTACGAAATGTTCGCCTTCGGATTTTATCGATACGTCGTAGGAGAAGTCTCGGTAATGATATCTCTCTGTCTGATAGAGAATCTGGTCTTCTGGAGGCACACGTGCTATCGTGAGACCCTTTCCAAAGTCAGAAGCAACTCCAGCATCACTCTCATCTCTTCTGTATCTGATACCATTGGTGTCTGTATGTCTCCCTCCGCCACAATTGACAGCATATATCACCTCGTAGGAACTGACGAGAGTGTAAAGGAGAGAGAAGATGGTGAGGAGTAGGAGTAACGGGCTTTTAAGTGAAGCCATTTTATCAGTAAAGAGAAGGTATTAACAAGAAAGGAGATAGGTACCAAGAGATAATAAATACCTCGTGTACTGCGCATGCGCAGTAGCTTAGTGACCACGTGCGTTCCGGTGTCTTTCAAAATGGCTGCCGTCAAGTCCCTTAATCCTAAAGCAGAGGTGGCCAGGGCTGCCCAAGCACTCCAGTTGAACATCAATGGAGCTAGGGGGCTACAGGAAGTCCTGAGGACTAACCTCGGCCCGAGAGGAACCATGAAAATGTAATAAATTGCATTTTTACACCTCCAATGGTAGTCTGGCTATTTTTTTTGTAGGTTAGTATCCGGAGCTGGTGACATAAAACTCACCAAAGACGGGAATGTGCTGCTTCACGAAATGGTGAGTACCTCTTCTTACTCTTGTTGTAATTATCTTCCCATTTCAGCAAATACAGCATCCTACAGCATCTCTGCTTGCTAGGGTAGCCACGGCTCAGGTAAGCCACGCCTACTTGTGTTACCATTTCTTTACATTATTTAGGATGACATCACGGGAGACGGAACGACTTCAAATGTCCTCATAATTGGAGAGCTATTGAAACAAGCAGACATATACATATCAGAGGTAATCAATTATTATTAATTATTAGTAGGTGGGGCTTCAGTTTTTTATATGATTAAATTTAATGCACAATAATAGATGCCAGAAGGAAAATTTACATGTACTTAATTGATGAATTTTAATTAATTCTCTTTAATTATGAATAATTATAGGGGCTGCACCCTCGTATTGTGACTGAAGGATTTGAAAAGGCAAAAATGAAAGCACTTGAAGTAAGTGACTCATACATTGTACAGTACATGTATTTCATTGCTTCCTAATCCATTGCATGGATAGAATAGTAAAAATATAATGTTTCTACCTTGATTTAAAATTTCAAAGATCTATTTATTGTTCTATTAATAGATTTTAGAGTCTGTCAAGGTTTCTAAGGAGATGGAGAGGGATACGTTAGTTCAGGTGGCACGCACCTCTCTTAGGACTAAACTCAGTCCAGAGACTGCTGATATACTCACTGAGGTAATGGAACATCTCGGTGTTCACTATTCTCATTCATCCTATTCTCTTGTCAATGTCTCTTTAACTTTCTAATGTGTTCCTCTCCCCCCCTCTCTCTCTCCCTCCCTCTCTCTCTCCCCCCTCTCTCTCTCCCCCCTCTCTCTCCCCCCTCTCTCTCTCCCTTCCCCTCTCTCTCTCTCTCAGGTTGTTGTAGACGCAGTGTTGTCCATACGTAAGGAAGGCCAACCCATTGATCTTCACATGGTGGAAATTATGCAAATGATGCACAAATCTGACACAGACACAAAGTAATGAAGATACATTTGATACATAGTATCAACAAGTACATGTACCTATGTATGTGTTTATATGTAATGTACATGTGTATTGTTGTTGTTGTTGTTGTTTATTGTTTGTTTGTTTTTGTTAGACTAGTGAGAGGTTTGGTATTGGACCATGGCGCTAGACATCCTGACATGAAGAAGAGGGCAACTGACGCATACATACTGACATGCAATGTATCCATGGAGTATGAGAAGAGGTTAGTAAAACTCAGTGCATCTCAGTAAATCCCAGTATACTAATAGACCTTGTGTGAGTTATTTTAGTATATATCAGTGTAACTTGGTATATTTTAGTATATTTTTGTATAACTCAGTATATTTTGGTATATTTTAGTATACTTCATGTTTTTATTCCTACAGTGAGGTCAATAGTGGTTTCTTCTATAAGACAGCTGGTGAAAGAGAGAAGTTGGTTGCCGCTGAGAGGAAGTTTACGGACGATAAAGTGATGGAAGTCATCAAACTAAAGAAGAAGGTTAGGGACCCATTCCTGTTCTTCAGTATGGGATTATGGGAATCTGTCTTTTGTATTACCAATAGGTCTGTAATGGTGGTAATCACGGCTTTGTTGTCATCAATCAAAAGGTATGACCTCTCTCTTTATTACATGTGTTGTATAACGCAAAATTTTTGAGGGTTCTAAATTTGACAGATTTGCCTAAAAATTTAATTTGCAGATTTAATTTTTGCCTGTCTGCCATCTTGTACCATAATAATTTTATTTCGCGAAAGTAATTTTTTACGAATCTTCAAAATATCGCAAAATCAGTGAAATTTACAGTCCCCCAAAATTTTGCTCTTATATGGTATATTGTTGACATTTATTCATTACATGTATTGACACTAATTGTCACCTAATTGTGTCTACTGCTACCATATAACCGTGTACCAGTTTATTTTTGCAGTGAAATATTTTCGCAAATTGCACAGTTTTTTTTTTGCTCCGTCACGAAATTCTGCAACTCCATTGCATTATGGAAGTTATTTGGTAAAATTAGTTCCTCCAAATCTTAGAAAGGCAAGATTTGTGAATATTTTTACCACGAAAATAAACCGATATGGGACAATACGAATAATGACAAGTATAACTTTTATTGAATTACTTATTTTTACACACAAACACTCGTATATACCTCCACACACACACACACACACACACGCATACATTCATTCATACACAATAGGGTATCGATCCCATATCTCTTGACCAGTTAGCAAAGGAAGGCATCATTGCTCTCCGACGTGCCAAGAGGCGTAACATGGAGAGATTAGTGCTAGCTTGTGGCGGTGAGGCTATGAACTCGTTTGAAAATCTCTCGCCGAATTGTCTTGGGAAGGCAGGACTTGTTTATGAGCATGTACTCGTGAGTAAACTGATGATTACTAATTTATTATTATTATTGTATTATTAATGAGGATAAAGGTATAATCAAGAGTAGATAATAAGTAGAGGAGAGTGTTTACCCCCTGCTTCATCACGGCGTAGAATTGAAGAGTCACATTCAGGATATTTCCGTAGTCTCATTGAGTTTGAGTAGTTATTGCTAGTTATTTTTGAATAACTACTCAAAAATACTGAAAATATCCTGAATGTGACTCTTCAATTCTACGCTGTGATGAAGCAGGGGGTATAGGCACAGTAGGACACTCTCCTCTAATTATTATCTACTCTTGGTATAATGGTATTAGCCTATTTAGTACATGTATAAATTGTAAGCCAATTTATAATTACTATCCATTAATTTGAACCTTTAAACTTTTGGCTAATTTCATTAAAGTTAATGGTCGTGAATATAATTGTAATGTGGAATATTGGCTGCCTTAGTTGTAAAAGTTGTTAAAATTAATGGACGTTAATATAGCCACCACTGCAAAAGCGTTAAACATGAAAGTTGTTAAATTATTTAAGTTTACAACAGGGTAGATACATGTATTTGTAATCCCAATTTCTAATTGTCATATTAAGTAGTATATGATGTGATATGCTATTCCATTGTTAACATAATAGCTTACAGGCCTTCATCTAGGATTTTATACAAGGGGGGGGGCAAGGTTAAAAATATTTTAAAAAGGGGGGGTCACTAATATTTTCTATTGTGCATGCACAATGCGTGCTCACAACACTTATACAGTGGAACCTCTGTATAACGGTCACCATTGGGAACTGGTCCTTTGGCTGTTATATAGGGGTGGTCTTTATTGAGGGGTTTCAGTTTAAAGTGTCTAACTTAAAAGATATTTAACTGTGTTGCCTTCTTAAGTATCTTGATTCACTCCTCAGGTCAATAACAAGTACAAAGATCTTGCAGGTAGTATGTAAGAGGTAGCAGGAAAAATAAGCGAATTACAGCAAGAAGAAAGGGCATGCTCAAGGTTTCAGCCATTTTATTTAGATGGGTGGGGCTACAGGTGACGTTTTATGATGAAAACATCCGGTCTTGGTGATGGGTGTGGCCACATGGCCGTTAAAGAGAAGTTTTTCTCAATGCTTTATGCTGTGTTGGGGATGTTTTGAGTGCTCGTTATACGCAATAGAGAGGTGGTCGTTCTTCAGGGGTTGCCTTAACAGGCAAGTAAGTGTATTTTGCATCCGGACCTGGACATTTGGCCGTTATATGATAGACGGCCGTTACTTAGAGGTGGTCGTTAAGCGAGGTTCCACTGTATATATATTTATTTGTATGTCCACACTTACATTTCTTCTATACACGTTGTATTGGAGAAATAACAAGCCTTAGCAACCACCCGCCCACGCTCCTTTACGTGAGTGGGTGTGGTCACGGCAAACAAAATGGCGGCTTACACATGGGACAAAGTTAAGAGCTTTCTAACAGCAAGAGAACATAGAGATACTGTCTAAAGACTTCTCTAGAAGCATTATAAGGTAGAGAAAACCTCTATAAGTCTTAATAGTGACCAAGTTGTACTTGCAAGGTGGTGAAATCAATTATAGGAATATTTTTTACCCTGTTACGCTTGTTAAGCAGTATTATAGTCAAATTCTTTGCATGAATTTAAATGCTAACCCACCGATTCCATGCACACAATATCAAACTATCCTCATCCAATAGGAGAGCCCTTTGCTTGCTGTGTATAAGCTGTAACAGGTACAACAGTGGACTGTTTGCAAAAACAGTATTTTAGTTATTACTCCTCTAAAATAGCGAATCAGTAAATGAAACTATGACAGTTCCATGCACAATGATTGTGGC